TAAGCAAGGCATTTTCAACATTAGAAGAGTAATCAATGCAATCCATCCACTACATAATTAAAACAAAAGAAAAGCACTACACATGATTATATCTATCAATGCAGAAAGGGCATTTGATAAACTCCAACATCTATTTCTAATCAAAACTCTCAGAAAATATGAATAGAAGTGAAAGCCCTCAACATAATCAAGGGCAAATATGCAAATCCAACAGCCAACAGTATTCTTCATGGAGAAAGACTGAAAGCATTTACCTTGCAAACAGGAACCAGACAAGAATAACCTCTATCACCACTCCTATTGAACATTGTGTGGAAAGTCCTAGCTAGGGCAATAAGGCAAAAAAGAAAAAGAAATGGCATCCAAACTGGTGATGAAGAAGTAAAACTATCTTTATTTAGAAATGATATGGTCCTATACTTAGAAAATCCAGATGACTTGACATCAAAACTACAGGAACTATTTGAAAGATTAGGCATAGTGGCAAGGTACAAAATCAACATTCAAAAACCAGTCAGATTGCCTTACACCAGTAAGAAAACTATGAAAAGAAATAAGACGAACAGTACTATTTATGATACCTACCAAAAATTATAAAATACTTAGAAATAAACCGAACCAGAGATACAAAGAAAGCCATAAAACATGACTATGAGAAATTTAAAGAGATCTACATAAATGCAAGTACATACCATGCTCGTGGATAGGAAGACTTCACATTATGAAAATGCCAATACTAAAAGAGTGATTTACAGATATACTGTAATCTCAGTACAGATTCCATCATTCTTTAAGGAAATGAAAAAACTAATCACTAACTTTATATGGAAAGGAAAAAGACCCTAGGTAAGCAAAGCACTGCTAAATAAGAACAAGGTAAGAGGCATCACATTTCCCAATCTCAAAACCTACATGCAGCCACAGTAATCAAAATAGCCTGGTACTCATTCAGTGACAGACACATAGACCAAAGAAATGGAATCGAGAACCCAAATATAAATACCTCCCATCTATGGACAGCTGATTTTCAGCAAAGGGCTGAAACCCATTAAATGAGGAAAAGATAGTCTCTTTAGCAAGCTGGGTGAAGTAAAAGCAATATAAAATAAGGGTGTGATCAGCC